TGCTGGCACATGATGGCATATATTACATTGGTAGATGTGCAGGTGAATGAACTAGTGATGGTGTGGCTGATCTGGTTAGGTCCTGTGATGGTGTCGCTGATGTAGATATGAGGGCAGAGTTGGCACCGAGGTTTGTTGCATGGATTGGTTCCTGAGTTATAGTTATTGTGGTGTGGTGTATAGTTGCTGGTGAGAATTTGCTTCAGGGTGGCAGGTTGTCTGTGGACGAGGACTGGCCTGCCTCCCAAGCTCTGTGAGAGTGAGGGATCATTGTCCAGGATGGGTTGTGGATCACCGATGATGCGTTGGAGAGGTTGTAAGTTGGGACTGTAGGTGATGGCCAGAGGTGTTCTGTTATTTTCTTTGTTGGGCCTGTCTTATAGCAGCAGGCTTCTGGGTACACATCTGGCTCTCTTAATCTGTTTCCTCACTTCCGTGGGTGGGTAGTGTAGTTTTAAGAATGCTTTTCACAGTCTGCTTTGGCCTTAACTATCTTGAGCAGTTTGGTATCATCTGCAAATTTTGCTACCTCACTGTTTACCCCTTTCTCTAGATCTGTGGTTACCAACCTGTCAATCACGATCGACTGGTTTATCGGGAGGGATCAACCAGTCGATCATGAGGCATTTGGGGTGCCCCCCATTTTCTCCCACCTCAAGAAGCCCCACTACGTACCTCCAGCGACAGTGGAGCTACTGTCGGCTTCCTGCGGGGTAGAAGGAAGCGCTGGCTGCTCCCCCCCTAAACCCAGGTTTGTGGCACACTGGGGACTTGCTGCACGTAGGAGTCCTCAAAGGAGGCGCGTACCGGAGCTTCCCTTCTCTGCATGGGGGGAAGAGTCCCAGGAGGAGGCGAGCCAGGCCTTCCCTTCTCTCTGGAGGGGAGGGGGAAGAGTAAGGAGTCCCCAGAGGAGGCGTGCGCCGGGGCTTCCTTCCTCTATGGAGGAGGGGAGCGGAGTCCTGGGAGGAGGCGTATGCCAGGGAGTCCCTGTCCCCACCCCACTACTCTGTCCCAGCACCCACTAACACCCTTCCCCAGGACTATGTCCCTGCTCCCACCAGCACAGTTGGGGCCATATTAGCGAGGCTTGGGTGTGGTGGGGTTGAAGGAGTTATTTTTTTTTGCATCTCACTTGTGTGGCCCCAACTGACTTTTCTGTGGGTCAGTGACCCCTGACCCAAAACAGGTTCCCAGCCCTTCTCATAAACAATGACAATGCTGAAACTTTTTGTGTTTGACATAATATTTTATTTAAAAATGAAGCCTGGCCAACAAACCCTCAGTTGGGGCCAAGCCCCCATCTGTCCGCAGCATCATAACACTCCTGCACCTCCCCCCCCAGAACCTAGATCCGAGCCTATCATACACTTGAACCCCCTGTCCTGAGCCTCTCACATCCTCAAACTCTTGTACCCCCACATCCTCAGTCTTCTGCCACAACACTCCTGCAGCATCCCCACACTGCAAATCTGTGTCCTTAGCCTATCATACTCCCAGCCTCCCTGCCCTGAGCCCCTTATGCACCCCAGCCCAAACTCCTGCACCCTCACATTGACAAGCCTGTGGCTTGCTCAGTACCCCAACCCTCCACCTGACCCCAACACTCCCCAGCCTGGAGCTCCCTCCTCAAGCAATCATCCCCTTCTTCACTTCCTCCTG